GACTAATTTCAATTAAGGCATTTCCCTCAAAAGAAAAGCTGCGAATAATGCATAAACACGGTTGTAGTACTGAAACGTATTTTTTATTGTTTGCTGCTTTGTCACATTTTTAAGATTTCACATCTGTGCATTACAGGGAGAGGTCATTCTTATTTTTGAAATGTTTAGTCTTACATAACACTTTCCCTCAAATTACAGAGCAGCCGTCAGCGTATAAGCAATCAAGCAAACAGAGTTGTTTTAACAGGAAAGTTGTATTAGTTTGAAAGGGAAGCTGTTGTGTCTTGCAGTAATCTCTTTTAACCTTTAAGTACCCAACAGGAATGTTCTAAGCGCTGAGGTTCTATTTCGGTCCCCGCGGGGGGGGGGGCTTGATTCATTTGGTTGGGCCAAAACTTTGCAGATGTATTTTTGTTGTGCGGATCAAGATCCAGATTGTTTTGAGACATCTGAGGCTTCGGTACAGAGTCCCTTCCAAAAACAATAGGAACTAAAAATAGATAAAAACTAGGAGCTCCATATCGAATGTTCACGAATCTAAATAGGAAGCAAATGGCATAATACTTGATATTTATTTCAAAGACGAAAACCACCACTAATTATATCTCGTATATACTTGTCATATACTTGTCTGACCTTATTTCTCCTTATGTACCTACCAGATTCCTCAGCTCCGCCTCTCAAAACGTTCTGCAAGTTGAGAGAAGCAAAACGAAGGCTTATGGTGACAAAACCTTTTCTAGTAGTGCTCCTCACTTATGGAATTGTCATCCAGTCTCTTTGCGTTCTGAACCCTTTTTTGATACCTTTCAAAAACATTTGAAAGCTAACTTTCTTGAAAAAAATGTCTTGAATTTTTCTAGTTTGGTTTGTTTATATGTTTTTCTACAATGAGTAATTTGTTTGGAGAGAATTCCAGCAGGAGATTTCTTCTTTTTGGTTAAGTTTCTTTTTCTTTTTTTTGGGGGGAGGGTCTTCTTGTAGTAATAGTATTTCGTTCTGTAAAGCGCTTTGATATAACTCTTGTTATGGAAAGCGCCATTTAAATAAAAATTTCTTGTTATTTTTATTATATCTCGATATACGAGGGAACCAATATATTTTGTAAGGTTGAATATGCCGACGGTAAGAAGTCAGCTTAATCCGCATTGGTGTCTCATTAATTTAGCAGACTTCATAAATTTCCTCCTTGGTGCATCCCTCAATCTCTTTCCGATTCCTTGTTTGAACAAGAATGTGTTGGCTTCCTTTGAATCCAGAAAATCTGTAGCAAAGGTGGGGAGAAAACAAAAATGGCACGTCGATGCTGTTTGCAGATAACTTGGTCTTTTGTGTTTTACCATCAGCCCCACTTTGAAAAACACAATCTACTCTTTCGCTTATCAAATGAGCCTGGGAAATCGAGAGGGCCCTTCTAGCCTCTCGTTAACTGATTGTTGACGGAGACATACATATATGGAAGGGTGGGGCCTACCCTCTTCCCTGAAAAATTAAAGGAAGTAAATACGCAAATAATAGAGGGGAACAAATGAATCGGGAAGAAAAACACAAATTTTCTTGATTTCAGTTTTCAGTTTCTGCAATCTTTGGAAAGAATATGTTTTTATGGCAATATTGGGACAAGTAGTGCTTTGTTTGCACGTTCTCAGATAATTAATTATTTTTCTTTCGGAAAAGCCTTTGTGTAAAAAGGGAGGGGCGCAAATTCGATTCGTTTTCTGTTTCTTTTGCTCAACAAAAAGTTCGTGAGAAACAGTAGCCGGGTTCTTCTGAGAGAGGAAAGACAGAAGCAAGCGTTGCCGAAGGGAGCAGTTGACTCTTGCCTCTCTTCACTACACCACTGGTTGGAAACAGAAGTTCAATTTGACTTTGATTTTACTACCTTGGTCGGAGACGTCGGGTTGCGGATGGCACAGCTGATTGTATTTTATTTGAAGAATTGGATTGCAGTAGTGGGGATAGCGAACCCAGCATAAAATACGTCCAAGATAGCCATTATGTCACCTTCTATATAATCAAAGGTTGTGATTACCATGATCGTTATGCACTGTTGAGAGAAAATGAATTATGCGGTTGACAAAATAGCAATAGGCAGTACCAGCCATGAAACTAACACGTCAAAGTCTTATAAGGCAAACCCCAATAGGTTCATGAGGAGCCGTGGTAATTTCGAAATGCATTAAGATAAAAAAAGCTAATATTTCAAATGTGGTTGGGTTGTGAAGCTAATGGAAAAATCAGTTCAGAGAACTGTTACATTTTAAGCTGTTGAAGTGAATTTCATTTTACGCCACAAAAAAACCTGAATCTGTTTATTAAATATCGACTGATTTTTCCAATCTATTCTTGCGTCTCTCACAATTGTCAAAGGTGTCTTCTTTGAATTAATTATAGAAGCAAAATGTTCCAGAGAAAGCTTGGGTATGAAAATCATTTTGTTAGAAACCATTTTTAAAGTATGAAACTGCCAAAAGGAGCAGTGACGATAAATTTCTTGACAAGATTAGCAAAGTTGATGTCAAGGGTGTGAGCAAGCTCTTCCGTGTATACCTCCTGGCTGACAAATTACCCAAAATATCGAAGTCACTCACTGATCAATTTCAAAATAGTCAGAAACGATTCGGTTGCATATTCTTGTAGAACTGTTGCTTTTGTTATTATTGAAAAAAATATTGACGAGTGAACGCATGTGAGGTGTTTTCCATTTTTCTTGCTGGTAACCAACGACAATAAGGCCATTTTAGTCAGAATGGCAGTCGACAGGGATATTGCCCCGTGAACATATAAAATATATGACATATGAAATAGTGAGTCAGTGAACCTTATATGCAAATACTTAGGAGGATTTTTAAAGCAGTATTTCATACATTCATGAATCTTGTAAGAATGACGCTCTAATTGCCAAGTGCTATATTCTAGGGTCCTCATCAGATTCCAAAGCCCCTACGGTCTTTAATAAAACAGAGTTGTGTACTTTTCCTTGTTAATGTACAATGGCGTCGCAAAAGTGGATTTTTAAATTTTTCTTTTCAAGCAGACTACAAGGTAACTTTACTCACAATATCCCTCCCTCTTTAGCGTGCAGGTCCAGGAGGCCATTGATTTGTTGTACTGTGAAGAAAGCAGCAGAATAAGTGATTTTTAAGATGTATTTTTTGGGGGGGAAAAAAGACTGCACATTGGAGCGCCAGCGCAGTGCGTGGCTCAGACAAGCCAAAATATCGTTTTCTTTTGTTTTGGGGTAAGACGTCTGCACTAGTAAGCAGGAGGTCGTGGGTTCGAGTTCCACCCGAGTAAGCTTGTGAGGTTTTTTTTGCAAGCTCTCGGACAAGCACTGAGCATACAGTGTTTATTAATATACGTTGGGTAAGGGCAAACCCGTTCTTTATAATTAACATCTCCCCAACGCAAAAAAAAAAAAAAATCTTGAAAAAGTTATATATAAAGAATAAGTGATAGTAAAAAAAAAACTGAGGTAAAAGTCCCAAACAATTGTACTGGGCCAACATTTCATTTGTTTGATTACTAACACCCCTAACCTGAATAGTATACAGCAAAAAATATGAATAAATGCAATAAAAATATACATAAAAACCA